AAATAAATTAAATCACCAAATTCCGAATCAACGTGCAAAGTTCATTTCTTTATCATGAGCAAAAATTTTCCATCATCCTTGTTTTATATTTACCCGTAGGTGGATCTTCATGAACGAATACGGTTAAACCACTCAACCTGCCAATTACAATACTTAGAAGCCCTCTCTGCCATCGATAGAGAATCCAAATGGAAATATAGGCGGAAAAAATGCATTTAAACTTTCTTGTTGATTGGTTTTCATCATTATCGATACGCAATGTCATCACGTAATCAAAAAGCTGAACAGACATTTAATATCAAGGATTTGGTTTACAACACTTTATCGATCAATCGATTCAGCGACCTAGTTTTTATACCCTCCGAACCATGGCACTAGGATTGAAGTTGATAAAAATTCTGAAAAATCAAATTTGTGTTGCACTAGCTCCTATAAAAATAAATGTATTCACCGAATCGACGTTCATTTCTTTATTATGAGTAAAAATTTTCCCTCATCCTTGTTTATATTTATGTGGATCTTCATGAATGAATACAGTTAAACCACGCAACCTGCCAATTACAATACTTGAAACCCTCTCTGCCAATGATGAAGAATCCAAATAAAGATATAAGCGAAAAAATGCATTCAAACTTTCTTGTTGATTGGATACAGAATGTCATCGCGTCATCAAAAGCTGGACAGACATATTAAATATCATAAATTCGATTTATAATACTTGATCGTTCAATCGTTTCAGCGACCTAAGTTTTGATACCCTCCAAACGATGAGACTAGCATTGAAGCTGATGAAAATTCTGAAAAATCAACTTTATGTTGCACTAGCTCCTATAAAAATAAATGAATTCACCAAATCGACGTGCAAAGTTCGTTTCTTTATCATAAGCGAAAATTTTCCATCATCCTTATTTTATATTATGTGGATCTTCACGAACATATATAGTTAAACCACTCAACCTGCCAATCATATCCTAATACTTAAAGCCCTCTCTGCCAACGATGGAGAATCCAAATAGAACCATGTTCGAAATAATGCGTTTAAACTTTCTTGTTGATTGGTTTTCATCATTACTGATAACCTGGCATATGTTGTGGATTTATCTATTGTTTGTTCGCGCCAGTGTTATATTCACCTGTAAGTAATCTAATTAAAAAACACACAAACCCGAAAATTATGAAAGTGCAGAAGTAAAATAAAAAATTTAATACTACTCTGATTACACATTGAATTATGTACTGTAAACACTCACAATTATAATTGAAAACATGTATAACTTTACGCCAATTACAGCCTTTACAGGTTCTTTAATATTTTGCACAATTTTATCAGATGAAAAATTTCATGTTTGTCTCTGGTTGCAGCAAATCGATGCACATATGCCACTAAATAGCAATTCGATCGTGAAAGCTTCACCTGTTAATAGAACACCAACACCCCCACCCAAATAAGAAAAAATTGCTTCAATTGAGAAATGATGGACTCGGTCAAGAGAAACAATAGCGGTTTACCAACAAATACAAAAATACAGTAACATTACAAATACTAAATCATATAGCATTACATACGTAAAGAGAAGTTCAAATGCGAACCATGTGCTTCATTGAAACAAATGCATTTCAAATTTGCCCAGTTGACCATCAATCTTTGGCAATTAAAGCAAAGGTCGCCTCTGTAAATACATAATTAACAACCCCCCAACCTAACATATTGCAATTCTTTTACATTAAAATTGTACACGACCTATGATTTTCTTATATATTCAAAAAAGTCTCGAAAATTTATTTTCAAACAACTTGCCGTTAAACGTCGCATTAACCTCAAATACTAAAAAAATATCTGTTGATGCAAAATATCTTATAAGTATTATAAGATTACCCCAAATACAGATGTTCATATGCTTCGTGGCCATTGAAATATTCAAATCCTGGACCCTGTTGATATTGATGTGAAGTAATCCACTGTCACCGCATTTTGCACTATTCAACCTGCTAAACATGAAATTATCCCCAGCCCAACCAAGTATGCAAAAATTGAGCGATTTTAAGAGATTCTTTCACGAAAACTTTGGGGTGATTTGTATAAATTTCAGTTCAAATTTTTCAATACCAAAATTTACTGAATTTAACATTAGGTCAGTTTTAGACAATCCTACCAAGTGTAGAGTATGATAGATTCTTCTCTCAATTTGGCATTAACTACAGAGATATTCAATTAATTGAAAACCCTAGAAGAAATACAAGTATGTTTGCTTTTTCAAAAGACTGGATAATTTATTTTGCTTAATCCACTTTTCATCTTGAAGAATATGTTATTTTGTCACTATAAAATTGCATCAACATATTTAAATAAATCATCATGATTTCCGTTTGCAACACTGATGAATCAATCTTTAAGATTAAATATCCTGCAAACCACGACACTATTTGAATTGCAGTTATTGAGAATTCTGAAAAATCAGCTCAGTTGTACTAGCTTCTATGAAAATGATTGAATTTAACAATATCCAAACTAGTGTTCATGTTTTATCATCTGGAGCATACAATTTTCTATCAATCTTGTTTTATGATTGTGTAGATGAAACCAGTTAAACCACCATTATTAGTTGCGATATCGAACGCCTCAGCTCCGCAATTGAGAATCCAAGTAGCAATTATATTTGAATGTTTGACCTTCCATGTTGAATGGTTTGTCATATTTACTTCACAATTATAGGCACCAGTGAATTGCACAAGTTTGATTCCTGTTTTTTTGCAAATCGATGCATATTTGCCATTACATTAGAACCTCTGATCCTCAACGTTTCACCTGCCAAAATAACTTGAACCCACCGACATTTACCCTTCAAACAAGAAAAATAGCAGGCACCAACAAAGCCAGAAAACACAAACATCACAAATACTAGATTAAATTCCATCCATCAAGTCATAATGCGTTTAACTAACCAATTAGACACTTGAATACCCAATTATGAGAATTGACTTCCATTTTCATCATTCCTATTGCACCAACTTGCGTAACTCTGCGTTGCAATCAGATCAAATCACTGTTTTGGTATAATTAGTGCGCTTGCTCGAAAAAATTTCAACTTTACCACAATCGCAGTCCTCGTCAGTAAATTGAATGGTTTTGTCGCACGAGTACATTTTAGTTCTGTCATGAAATACCGGATAATTTCTTTTTATTTCTTCACTGGACTGGATTATTTAACACGATCCCGAGTAGTATTGGGCACTTTCCACCTTTATGAATGTTATTTTGTCATCGTAAATTGAACGGACATATTTCATATAATGAGAACAAGTGATCGATCAATTTTTTCCAGCGATCTCGTTTTCATACACTGCGAACCATGGCACTACTTGTATTGAAGTTACTGAATATTCTGAAAAATAACTTTGCGTTGCACTAGCTTCTATAAAAATGATTGAATTTACCAAATTCTGACTCAGCGACCAAGGTTCATTTCATTATCATAGAGCGAAAACTTTCTTCCATCTTTATGAGGATCTTCATGGACGAATCTGGTTTAACCACTCAACCTGCCAATTACAATATCTGAAGCGCCCGCTCCCCAATGAATGAGAATCCAAATAGCACCATAAGTAAAATAACACGCTTACTTTCTGGTTTGGTTTCTCCTAATTATCGATTTGACTTTTGTTGGTTGTGGATGATTTGCTTTTTGCATTTAGCGCCATTGATATATTCACCTGCGGTTACTCGAATAGAAAAAAAAAAAACACAACCCCGAATATGTGACAATGCAGACGTATAACAACCATCCTTTTGATTTGGTATTGCTACTGATTACACATCGAATTGTGCATCATTAAGTCTCACACTAATAATTGAGAAAATTGTATGACTTCACCGCAATTACAGGCGTTCATCAGCGTATCACACAATTTCATCAAATGAAAAGTTTCATGATTGTTTCTAGTCGTAGCGAATCGATGCACATATGCCACTGCATGCCAATTCCGATTGCAAAGTTTCACCTGCCAACATAAAATTATAACACCCTACCTAATTTAGACAAAAATTGTTTAGATTGGAAGTGTATGACCCGGTCATGAGAAATAATAGCGGTTACCAACAAATACAAAACACAGTAACATCACAAATACTTAAAATCGAATGGCATCCATTAAATGTGTTTTTTTCCTATGTAATTATTCGTAAAAATGGTGGTTTTAAATCACTGTTGTAGGATTTCAAGTCACATTGTGCAGCCTAGTCCATAAATTTCAACCTTACCACAATCAGTCCCTCATCAGTAAATCGAATGGTTTTGTAGCGTGAAAACATTTTAGTAATGCTTGTAGTTGCAATTAACAATTCATGTCAGTATTGATTTCTGTTCTTTCGCCTGCCAATATACTATTAGTCCCCGCCCATTACCCCAAAAAATTAAAAAGAGAGTACAGTAAATATACAGGTGTAGGATGGTTTTGTAGCGTGAAAACATTTTAGTAATGCTTGTAGTTGCAATTAACAATTCATGTCAGTATTGATTTCTGTTCTTTCGCCTGCCAATATACTATTAGTCCCCGCCCATTACCCCAAAAAATTAAAAAGAGAGTACAGTAAATATACAGGTGTAGGTTGTTAAAACAATTTTCACTGAACACATTTCAGAAAATTTTTACATATATAAAAGATTTCACTAAATACATATTTAATCAAATCCAAAAAATTATATTCTTACAACTGCTAATTAAAATAAATTACAAAAACCTTGTGAAAGTTGTTCTATTGATAATTGATTCAGATGCCCCATCAGAATGCTTTGCAAACTTGTCCAGTCGAAAATAACACTTTGTTAAAGTAAAGCAAATATTGCCTCTGCAAATACATAATCAACACCCACAACCCAACTACAATATAACCAAAAAGCATACAACCAAAAGCATGGAAAAAAGTAGACCACAATAACCATTGTTATTAATGTTTCACTGGATAACCCCATATTAGTTCTCAACAAGCATAAAAGAAGTTATGTCATAAAAAAGTAATCTTTAATAAAGAAATATATGGAATACCAGCAATTCAGAAGCAAACCATATGCTTCAGATAAAAAAAAATTTGTGACATCGTTTAGTCAACCATTTTTCCAGTAAGCTAATAATATCTATAGGAATACATGATCAACAACCTCCAACCAAAAACATGTAACAAACTCAAAACAACCAGCGACTGACAATGAAACAGATATAAATATTGCAATACTTTTATATAAAAAATTATACACATACCGTACTTTCAAATACTAAAAAAGTCTGATACAGAATACACAATAAAATATGTTCAAATTACCGCAATTGAAAGTGCGTAAGTGTTGTTGGTACTGCTGAAAATATTCTTAATACTGGATTTTGATGATATTCATCTTTGTGTCGCCATAATCTGCACCATTCAACCTGCTAAACATGACATTAGCACCCAGCCCACCCAAAAAAAAAAAAAAATGATGCCTTTTCAGATATTTATAAAACCAGAAATCAACCGAATATTGGATTCATTTCTCTAGTATGTCTAGATATTTCTACATACAACTGCGAATCAGCTACTGAGATATTCAAAATACTGGACATATTATTTATGTTTCACTTGGCTATTTACCATGATCCTAGATAGTATTAGGCACTTTTCAACTTCATGAGATGTTATTTAGTCGTCAAAAAAATTGCATGGGCATATTTGAAATAAATCATCACAAATACTATTTAATGCACTTGCTTAGTTATCGATCATTTTTAACCATTCAGTTCCATATTCTGTGCACTGTGACACTACTTGAATCAATTAAAGTTTTAGTATATTTTTAAAAACGCCGGAATTTACCAAAGTCCAAATTAGCGTGCATATTCCACTTCATTATCTGGAGTAAACAATTTTCTATCGTCCTTGGTTTGTGGTTATCTAGATTTTCATAAACGAATCCGAAACCACTTGAATCTGTCGATTACAGTATCGAAATACCCCCGTTCCACAATTGAGAATCCAGGTAGCAACAGTATTTTTTAATGCGCAAACTTTCATGTTGATTTGTTTTCTTTAAACTTCACTACAAGTACAACTACAGGCATCATCTGTGTATTGCACAACTTTATCAGATTAAAATTTATCCAGCTATCCAGTTTTCATACCCTGCGAACCATGGCACAACTTGCATTGAAGTTAATGGACATTCTGAAAAATCAACTTTGTGTTGGACTAACTTCTATAAAAATTATTGAATTTACCAAATTCCTCGGCGAGCAAGGTGTATTTCTTTACCATAGAGCGAAAGATTTCTATCATCCTTGTTCAATATAAACAGCAATCTTCATGGACAAATCCGGTTAAATCACTCAACCTGCTAATTACAACATCACAATCACACGCTCCTCAATGATGAGGAATCCGAGTAGCGACCAAGTTTCCCCCTGTTAACATAACATAAACACCCCCACCCAAGTAAAGAAAAATTACTTTAAATGAGAAATGTAAGACACAATCATAAGAAAAAATAGCGGTATCATCAAATCCAACATGCAATAACGTTGCAAATACTAGATAATAATAACATCAATAAAATTTGTGTTTTTTTCAACCTAATTACCAGCATTAACTCCCTTCTTTATTACTTTTATCACATCAACTTGTAAATTTTGAATTGCGATTGAAACTAAGGATTAAATCACTGCTCTAAGATTTGTTCCTCCTACATGAAAAATACGAGTCAAAGGTGATGCAATCAAACTTTACCACAATCACAGTCTCTCATCAGTAAATTGAATGATTTTGTCACATGATCACATTTTAGTATTGCTTGTAGTTGTCATTAACAGTTCATGTTAATATTCGCTTCTGATTTTCATTGTTTCCCTGCCAATATAATATTAGTCACCAAGCCCAACAAAAAAATAAAATAGCGACAGTAGAGAAAATGTTTAAATAAATGTAGGTAGTAAAAGCATTTCCCACATGACATATTTCAGAAACTTTCATGTCTATAAGATTCCCCTAAATACAGATTTAATAAAATCCTGAAATTATATTAGTATAACTCCCAAATAAAATAAATACCAAAAACTTCTTGGAAGTTATTCCATTGACAAATGATATCTCATCAGCATGTTTTTTGCAAACTTGTCCAGCCTGACAAACCTTTAATGCAGAGCTTATGCCGCCTCTGTAAATATATTATCAACACCACACAACCAACTACAACATCAACAAAGCATAAACCCAAAAGCATACAAAAAGTATTGTCCTTTATTTTTTTCCCCTGTCAACCTTATATTAGTTCCTCGGCAACATAAAAAAAATTGTGGCAATGAAATATATGAACCTTTAGTAGAGAAATCTATCCAAACTTCGTCAGAACAAATGGATTTCTAGTTTGTCTAGTTGACCATCATTCTTTGTCAAGCAAAGCTAAGGTCGTCTCTGTAAACACATAATAAACAACCCCCAACCGAATAATAATAGGCAAAGCATACAACAAATGAACAATTACCAAGCAGTTGACAGTAAAGCAGATATAAATATTGCAATTCTTCTACATTAAAATTGTACATGATCGATAATTTTCTCATATACCGGTAATTTAAAAAAGTTCCGAAATCTTATTTCCAAACACAACTTGCCATTAAAAAAGTCGTATTAGACTCAAATACTGAAAAAAATCTGTTGATGCAAATTATCTAATTATTATTCTAAGATTACCCCAATTACAGATGTTTAAATGATTCCTCACCATTGAAATATTCAAACCCTGGTGGATATTCGTGTAAACTGAGTGGCGCTTCTCAAAAATTTGCTACTTTACCACAATATCGCATGAGTACATTCTAGTTTCTATGAAATACTGGATAATTTCTTTTTCATGTTCCACTGGACCCGATTATTTACCAATTTTTCTCAATAGTATTGGGCACTATCCATCTTTATGAAATGTTATGTCATCAAAAAGTTGAATGAAGGACAATACTTCATCGATCAATTGTTTTCAGCAATATAGTTTGCATACCGTCGGAACCGTGGCACTAGGTATTGAACATGATGAAAATTCTGAAAGATCAACTTTTTGCACTAGCTCCTACAAAAATTAATGGAAATTACCAAATTCCGAATCAACGAACAAGATTCATCGCATTACCATGGAGCACGAATTTTCTATCGTCCTTGTTTCATATTGATGTACATCATCGTTACCGAATATGGTTGATAACTCCTTGCCAATTACAATATGAGTGGACCCAATCCCTAATGATGAAGAATCAAAATAGCACTATATGTAAAAATACGCATTCAAGCTTTCTTGTGGATTGGTTTTCATCATCATTGATAGCCGGACTTATGTTGATTTGTTTTTTGCTCTTTCGCGACATTGATATGTTCACCTGCAAGTAACCAACCCGAAAATCACGAAAGTGCAGAAGTTTAATGAAAATTATGTATCATAAAAGCTCACAATTGTAATTGAAAAAAGATACATAATAACTTTTACCACAATTACAGGCGTTAATCAGCGTATTGCATAATTTTATTAGATGAATTTCATATTCCTTTCCAGCTACAGCGAATCAATGCACATAGGCCACAACATAGCAATTCCGATCACCAAAGTTCCACCTGTCAATACAACATTAAGACCCCGCACAAATATGGAAAAATCTACCAGAACTAAAATTTCGTCAGTTTTAGACAATTCCACAAGTATACAGTCAAATGGATTATTTCTTCGATTGAGCATTATTAACTACAGAGGTATTCAATTAATTAAGAATCGCAGCAAGGAGACATATAATATTGTTTATGCATTCCAAAAGACTTGATATTTTATTTTGCTTGTTCCACTTTTCATCTTTAGGATATGATATTTTGTCACCAAAAATTTGCATGGACATATTTTGAAAAATCATCATGAATTTAGTTTGCAGCGCTGATCCACCAATCCTTTTTAAGTTTCCATATCCTACAAACCCCGCCACTACTTGAACTGAAGTTAGTGAGGATTCTGAAAAATTAACTTGAGTTGTACTAGCCTATATGGAATTGAATTTACCAAAATCCAAATGACTGTGCATGATTGATTTCAACATCTGGAGCAAAAATTTTTCTATCATCGAGTTTTATAATTATGTAGACTAATCCGGTTTAAACAATGAATCTGTTGTCAATCACAATATCGAAAGTCCGCTCCGCAATTAAGAATCCAAGTAGCAACAATATTTGAAGTGCGACATTTCTGGTTGATTGTTTTCCCATAGTAACTTGACTACAATTACGGGCGTTCATCAGCATATTGGGTAGCTTTATCCGATGAAATTTTTTAGTTTGATTCTCGTTGCCTATATGCCAATACATAGCGATTCCGATCCGGATTGTTTCACCTGCTAATACAACATTAACACACCCACCCAAGTAAAAAAAAATATTAAATCATAGATAAATTGAACGGACATATTTAACATCACAAATTCTGCTTACAATACTTGATTGATCAATTTCAACTATGCAGCTTCAATACTGTGAGAACCAAGGCACTACTTGTATTCAAGTTTGCAGCACAATCTCCTATAAAAATGATCAATTTACCAAAATCTGAATCAGCGAGCAAAGTTCATTCCATTACCTATGGGTAAAAAGTTTCAATCATTCTTGTTTCATATTCACATGGATCTTCATGGATGAATCTGCTTAAACCACTCAACCTGCCAATTAGAATATCAAAACCCCTGCTCCCCAATGATGAAAGATCCAAGTATGCAAAAATTGAGCGATTATTTCGTGAAAACTTCTAGCTAGATTTAAGATCGGAGACTTTAAATATTTTTATACTAAAATATACAAGAACTAACGTTCGGGCAGTTTTAGACAATACCACAAAGTGTACAGTATATTGGACTATTTCTTTAATCGAGCATTATTAAATTACCTACAGGGTCACCCCTTGCCAAAAATCGCCGCAAAAAGAGATAAGTTTGTTTATGTATTCAAAAAGAATTGATAATTTTGTTTTGCTTGTTCCACTTTCCATCTTAAGGATAAGAAAAATTTGCACAACACATTTAAATTATTTATCATGAACTTTATTTGCAACGCTGATCGATCGCTCCTTTTCAAATCTTACAAATGACGCCACTACTTCAATCAAAGTTATTGGAGATTCTGAAAAATCAACTTTGTGTTGTACTAGCTTATATGGAAAGATTGAATTTACCAAAATCCAAATTATTGTGCAATTTCGACTTCAAGATCTGGAGCAAAATTTTTTCTATCATTCTTGTTTTATATTTATGTAGACGAATCCGATTAACCCAGTGTATCTGTTGTCAATCACAATATCGAAAGTCTTCGCTTCACAATTATGAATCCAAGTAGCAACAATATTTTGAAAGTGCGACATTTCATGTTGATTGTTTTCCCATAGTAACTTTACTACAATTACAGGCGTTCATCAGCATATTGCGCAGCTCTATCAGATGAAAATTTCAAAGTTTGATTCTTGTTTCTGCAAATCGTTGCATATATGCCAATACATAGCGATTCCGATCCGGTTTGTTTCACCTGATAATACAACATTAACACATCCACACGAGTAAAAAAAATATTAGGTCATCGATAAATTGAACGGACTTAACATCACAAATTCTGTTTACTCCCAACAATTCCCCCCAATGATGAAAGATCCAAGTATGCAAAAATTGAGCGATATGGAGCTATTATTTCGTGAAAACTTCTAGATAGTTTTGTTAAAATCAGAGACTTTAAATATTTTTATACTAAAATATACAAAAACTAACAATCGGGCAGTTTTAGACAATACCACAAAGTGTACAGTATATTGGATTATTTCTTTAATCGAGCATTATTAAATTAACTACAGGGTCACCCCTTACCAAAAATCGCCGCAAAAAGAGATATAAGTTTGTTTATGTATTCAAAAAGAATTGATAATTTTGTTTTTGCTTGTTCCACTTTCCATCTTAAGGATAATAAATTCGCATGAACACATTTAAATTATTCATCATGAATTTTGTTTGCAACGCTGATCGATCGCTCCTTTTCAAATCTTACAAACGACGCAGCTACTTCAATCGAAGTTATTGGAGATTCTGAAAAATCAACTTTGTGTTGTACTAGCTTATATGGAAAGATTGAATTTACCAAAATTCAATTATTGTGCAATTTCGACTTCAATATTTGGAGCAAAATTTTTTCTATCATTCTTGTTTTATATTTATGTAGACGAATCCGATTAAACCAGTGTATCTGTTGTCAATCACAATTTCGAAAAGTCTCCGCTTCGCAATTATGAATCCAAGAAGCAACAATATTTTGAAAGTGCGACATTTCAGGTTGATTGTTTTTCCATAGTAACTTTACTACAATTACAGGCGTTCATCAGCATATTGCGCAGCTTTATCAGATGAAAATTTTAGAGTCTGATTCTTGTTTCTGCAAATCGTTGCATATATGCCAATACGTAGCGATTCCGATCCCGTTTGTTTCACCTGCTAATACGACATTAACACATCCACACGAGTAAAAAAACATTAGGTCATCGATAAATTGAACGGACCTAACATCACAAATTCTGCTTACAATACTTCATTAAACAAAACCTTTCTGTCATCAAGGCTTCACAACTTGCAAATGTGCACCATACTAAGTGGTGAGTAGTAGATCTCTAATCAACCATGGGAACTTTCAGGCCAATATTAACTGCTGCTCTGGTAAACTACTTGCGGTCTATCAGGTGTTCATTAGTGAATCGACGGATTATGTTTCCTGTTTAGTCTTTAACTGAAGATGACCGATTTACACACAATTAGGTTTGATTTTGATCCTCATTCTTTTACCTGCCAACATAATATTAGTACCCCCACCATGCATAAAAGATGCTAATAACCACAAAAAATGCTTAAACAAAAAATGAACATGTTTCTTTCAGAGTTCGCATATTGATAAAAACTCAATGCATCACAATTTACTACAATTACCTTAATAATCATTGCAATTTTTTCCATTCCCAAGCTGCTATGGATTCACTTTACATTCATGATTGTTTCAATAATGCCATCTTTATTTCAATCTATGTTATGCACATGATACGTTACGGAGATATATTAGGCGGATAAAACAGAGTCAACAATTTACCTTACTTATCAGTCAAAACACCCGCATCGCTCATTGTTTTTATTTCATTCAAGCTAACCCGTGCATAATACATCTGATACTTCTAGCTAGAATCTAGATGAAACTGAAAACAACAAAAAATTCATTCCATTCTTCAATGTTTTGCTTTGCGCCATTTTCATATAGGGATTGGTATATGCATTTTCAATGCTGTCTTCATTTCAATCCATGCTAAGCACTCGATACAGTGAAACATAACTGAAACGGGGTAACTGGGAATTAAACAATAACAATTTACCTTTGTTCTTGTTAGCTTGTGCAATTAAAACCAATCTTATGCCAAAAAAAAAAAAAAGTCGGAACATTACCACATCAAAAAGGTTTCGCTCCATTTCAGAGAAACTTGTATCAACAATCCTTATCTCACTACAACAAACTTCTTTCTGCAATAAATATGTGATAACTATACAATATCATTCCATTTTATCAAAAAACTTCTTCCCTTTAGACTTTGATACACTGTATAATCAATTAACACATAGATGTAAAATTAGTGGGGCAAACAAATTTGCCCTTGATGCCCTCCTGTTAATGAGGTCCAATGTGCAATCAAACACCCTCATTAGCTTTTGTACTTAATGCAAGAGCATAGATATTCACTAGCCATCACATTTCGATTGTGCTGTAATGCAGTTTAATCCTGTGGTTTGCATATTAAACCAAATTATTGTACTTCACGATATACTGCTAATTGATCTGAACATTATTGAATCAATTGCACTCCTACGCACAAGATCTGTGAACCAGAAGACAAAGAGTAATGAACAGGATTCCAATGAATATTCTCACAACACTGAACAAGATTCAAGCAGCAAAAATCACGAGACCAAGACCACAATACACATGGTTGAAGGCAATCACTGATTAAAGAATATAGGAAGATCCTAAGCTGACTTTATAGTGAAGACTATGAATACACAAGCCAAAACCACGACCCAATTATCCGCAACCTGGGATCAAGGCACAAGTTGAAAACAGCACTTCTTGATATGTCGAGATTTCTGAAAAGTGAAACATGCAGGGTGGTCAGATTCAAGTCAAGAACTGTCAAATACAACAAATTTCAAAAAATTAATACCATGATCTTATCTTGTATCGCACCACTCCATCAATACAAAGCTCCCATTGCAAAAATATGCATTACGAAGAAGACGAATACAACTAAGTCCTGAAAATTATATTACAAGCACTCAAAGAAATGTGGATATATATTTTAAAAAATTGTATTGTATTTATTGATATTTTGAATATATTTGTGAGGCAAATACATTAATCTGCAAGCATGCAAACATAATCTGCACTAATAATTTTTCAACTTGGGCATTCAGGCTTTATAGGCTAGAAGCATATAACTTAGTCTCCCTTGGTACTAGTACTGCTGAGACATGAATAAAGTAAATATCCCGAAACATGAATTATTTTTCACTGCTTCATATTTCTTATCATCTGTTCCTTCTTAGCGAAGATTACAGCTGTGACGTCGGGATATCAACTGAAAGTGGTTCTTCTATTGCAGAAAATATGCAATCCATGACCAATCAAAAAAAGCCATTTCCGATCTTGACAGTAGTTTAAGAATAAGTAATACTACAATAGGACACATCATTACAGTAATTTACTGTGCTTTTCTTCTCAAATACTCATAAAGGGAAATATAAGTTTTGTGCTTCTTGCAAATTAGTGTCTAAAATAATATCATTGCTAAACTGGCTCTTGAAAAGAATGTGGGGTTTATATATTGAACCAGGTAATGAACAGCATATTTTTTTATGTGTTTTGAATATTCACATTTGCTTTTTTCTGCTTTTCTCATTGGATCCACAGAGAAGGATTAATTACAGAATTAACCCATCCTCGTGGGACAAAACATGGTTGTCCGGTTGCGTTACATAGTTGTGAGATGAGGGAGAACTGGCAAACATATTTCTTACACGCAACAGGATGGATAGCTTTTTTTTAAAACTCCATAACCCACCCAAAATAAAAACCAAAATAAAGTCCAAAATTCTGCAGAGCGAGCAAAATTTCAAAAAGTTTAAAACATGAGTACCTGTATATCATGTGCCCACTCAGCAGCAAACACTCACAAAAGATACAGTCAACAGAGATGTTAACGCCCCACTTTCATAGATAACTGCTTAACTATCAGACTATTACAATAAAACAAATACAGAAATAGCAATCACAATACACAAAAAGCATTGAGAAATAATGTATGCCAGACTTTTTTAGTATTGCTGTATTGTGATTAGTGAAAATACCACAAATGGTTTCGACCTCGTTTTCCAGCATTTTAATTGATGAGAACAGACCGAATTTGTCACAAAAAACTGTGCCAGTGCATAAATCCAAGAAAAACATGGTTGCGAAAAGCGTATAGAAAATATTGATGTTAATTACTTGATCTTTTTACTTGTACTTTGAGTGAGTTAAGTTTAAAATCAAAGAGCAGGAATTAAGTTAGGAATTAGAGTTCAAGATAGTCACAAAATTCTATAGGCTAGACTATTCATTTAAATTGAATAAAAAAAACTCACCCGAACCGCTTTCACATCTCTTTAACGTCTTCGAAACCTTCAACTATCACATAAACGAATGCGCGAACATCCACGCTCAACAAAACGGCAAGTGACTGACGACGCTGGTTGTAAACAAGATTTTATTGGCTGTGTTGTCAATAACATCACGTGATAAAGTAACACCAAAATATTCATCCGCGAGCAAAAATGGGTATTTTGACGTTTAGTATTCCACTTAAATACAATACAAATATTTTAAAATAACTAATACTTCAATATACACGGTTAATATAGTATTTCATATACTGTGCCAATATGTTATTACTGTTTCATAACATCTTGTACTATTTACATGGAAGAATACTTGTGAAATTGGTGCAAATACTGTTACGTCATAGAGAAAAAATACCAACGGGTTGAAATGAGATCAGCTGTGTTGCCCCGAGGTGATGAAATTAGACTACTGACGTTCTATCTGCGTTTGTGATCGCACGTTCGACGTCGACTGAGGAGAATTCCTTTTCAGTGACGTTCGCATATTGATTTAGACTCCAGAAGCCTAGTATGTTGAAAGATATGTTAAATACGTAGTTGCGAAATATACATTGAAATCCATTCACTTATAAAAAAGTGGCTTAAACTACCAATTTAACTTAACGTTTTGTTGTAGGTTTGGTCATACTGCGGCTCGTGAATTTTTTACTTTCTATATTATAAATAGCAGCTAAATTTTTGTGGAATATATTTTTCACTTCATGCACTCGAAACAATTGTGCGTTTAGCTATTTTTTTTTAGCCATGATTATGCAGAGGGATAAACAAAGAAATTCAGTATCCGTATTCCATCGCTGAAATAGAGGCAGACGTATCAGAGAATTACGTTTTATTTTCATTCGTTATGTCAAAATGAGTAACTAATTTGCCATGGTGTTATTTTCTAGTCGTAACCGGATAAAAATTTAATTAGTATGACACACTCACGTGAAGTTATAATGGCGAACTATGATAAAGAAATGCGCCTATGATTTGATAACATACATAACTTGCGAATTGACTATATGCATCTATCCTGACAGCCAACATTCGAAAAACGCTGGTAATTTACAGAATAAACGATGTCAAATCCCAAAACAGAAAATTTGTTTTAATAAAATCATTTCATGTTTGAAGTACATATATATTATCTCTGCACATCCTACAAAAAAAAATTTCTCCAAATATTCATTACAAAAAATAAAATACCATCCTTACACAAAAGGCATCTAATATGAATTCGACTCAAAAGTTAGATTTCACGAGTGTCCACTTGTGAATAAAAAATATTGGAGCTATGCTACAAAATGCGTATTTGGCGGTTATTAGGTCTCAGTGGCGTAACAGTTATCTTATAAGAAAGACGATAATAATTCATTATCGCGAAACGATTGCAACAATGCGTATGACACATGTGTGGCGTGGCAAAAAAAAGTTCATTACCCTATTAGGCTGTGATAGACTGAGCTAAAATTTGCTACCAGTACTTTCAAATGACAGGTTCTTGCATAATTTCAATCATGCTGATGGTTTAAAACATGTAGGCCAGTTTCTCACGAAACTACTCTTAAAATAGACATCAAAAATTTTGCAATAATGAAGTGGAAAGAGAATTTTTCTGAGATCAGAGGTCGGGAAACAGCCATTCTCCATTATATTATTTTCTTTGTATTTAATTGAAATTTCCTAAGCACTGGATTTTTTCAACACGGTTATTATCATTGTGAGAGCGTTGACCGATAGGGTTTTGTTTTTTATCAATTCTAAAGAAAACATCTTGTTTCAAAACAAGGGCTTGTTTTTTCGGGTTTATTTAAAAATGCCCCCCTGGCCGTAAAAAATAGATTTTGATATAATGATTCATAGTAGGTTTTGCTGTGATAGTTCTGGAGGAAAAGAAAAACCACGGTGGCACCGTCCTATCCCGATGTCGCTAAGAGGGTACTAAAATGCTCATTTCATTTGCAACAACTTACGAATGTGAGGCAGCTTTTTCCACGTTACTCGCTATTAAAAAATATGTTGAAACAGAATGGACGTGGGACACGATATGAGAGTTGCATTATCCAAAACAGAAACCAAGGTAGAAGAACTAGTCGGAGCCAATCAAGCGCACCTTCCCATTGAACTGTTTTAATGTCATTCAATAGATGAACGCTTGATATACCGCGTTGTTATTTGCTTTCATTTCTTTAGTGGACCGAGGGTCATCAGAAAAATTGCAAGGGGGCCGTTACGCATAATTTTTCAAAAAGTTTGAGAACCACTGATATAGCTCAAGAGCCCAATACAATCCAAAAGCATTTGGATCAAGGGCAGCCTCCGACAAAACAAGTGCGTAACGATAATGATAAATATACTCAGATTGACGGCAACCTACAAATTTGGACGATGAGCCGTCCTAGCCTAGGCTATGCTTATTGTAAGACCGCGAATATTGACCGTGACCAGCGTGAATATTTGATAATGAGCCTATTCATCTTATCTTACGAGTATTACTCAATCTCGCAACGCGCGTTTCTCACCGTTAGAGCAGTATAGCTATCGGCAAATCCTCGCGGGTTCGTCTGATGTGGACGAGTTCAACAAACATTGAGGTGTATATGATAGGCCTCTATGTTCTCAAAGTGCTTTAGGGGTTCGGACAACGGTGAGGCTGCCAAAGATGATGCGGCCCATCGGAAGCACTCAAAAGTATGAAGAGTTATGTCGCCCCATTGCTCTTGCCACTTGCAAGATGGTGGAGTTCTAAGCATTTGTAGTTGGTTCCCTTGGCAGTTATGCCGTTGGGAACCAGACTGCTCTTCGTGCATTTGGGTGTGACCGGGGGTGCCGCTACAGCGGTCTCCCGTAACTGTGTCAGGAACTCCATCCGGGGTTCCCATCGCGTCTGGATGGCCTGATGTGGACTTCCTCACAGTGTCGCCTGACAGAGTCTCTTTTGTGACACTGAATTTTTCTGTGTCTTATTTTCTTCCTTCTTGGTTATGCTTGCAAGCTTGCATGTGTGTTTGGTAATTAAATTGGTCATACTCGCCCGGTCGATTCCCACTAGTGGTTTCCCTGGGTCGTTTGTTCTCTTTGCTCGTTAAATTTAGTCCACTAATCCCGTGGCTCAAAATTAGTTTGTTTGTATTTTATTCCTTTCTCCACCACTTACCTTCACAAACTCACGCTTGGCGATGGCCTTGGACCCACCTGGATGCCATATATACTAGTGTATACGGCTTGCCTTAATTATCCTAATTTTAATTTGCAGGTATTAAAACACTTTTCCACGGGGATTTATTAGTTTGGTCATTTTCATTATAATCTGATACTCTATCAAAATTTTCCACTTTAATTGTTTCAGAATTTCACCCAGGTTGATAGGAAAAGGCGAACGGTAATTATAATTTAGTCTTCATGTTTAGAACCTATCGCCGAGTTTGCCAGCCGTTCGCAACAATTTTACATTGTTATTTTTTGCATATGATTTTTTCTCTGTGAGTTGTCCGTATCTGCCGTTGACGCGTCTTTTATTTATATTTATTTATCTTGAAATGTAACATCCGCCGGACAACGTTCCACCGAACATTTATCTATTCATTTCTGGCTGGCTCGGTTATGAGCCATATATACTGTTTCCTCATATTGACGTGTTATACTTTTACATGTTCAATTCAATTTTTTATTCAGGGTAAAATCTTATTTGTATTTATTTTATAAATACCGTTTGCTCCCCTGCGCGGGGAGGCCAGGGTTACTGGCGAATGTACCATTGATAATTCAAATAAAAGTACATAAAACAATAAAACGCAGGAGCAAATATTTTAATATTCTATTTGTTTTTTCTGACATTGCGAAACCCGACAAAATCGAAGGATGAGAAAAATGACGCTTTGAATTGTATAAAGTAATCTACCCCCACACCCGGAATTGAGTAATCTTCTCGACTTCTAGGTCAGGGCTACTCAACTATTTTTATCGAAGGTCCGCAAACAAAACTTTAAAATTATTTGGGTCCGGTCTTTCCAGAAATGATATTTCGGCATCCTTAAACGAGCACTTTCTCGACCGACTAATGATTAGTAGCAAATTAAAATTGTTTATTATGGTGTTATAGTTCTTTTCGTATATATTCAAAACTATGAAAGTCATTTTATAATAGGAAATTCAAAAAGTGGGGCTAATGATCCAAAATAAATAATTAGGTGCGGTCCAAATCCAATACTCGAAAGGTCCGGATTTGGACCGCGGTCCGCCAGTTGAGTAGCCCTGTTCTAGTTAATTAATCGCTCACGCGTACGTATTCTTGTCATGTGCTTATTCTGTAGCGAAAACCCTTGATAATCGGAATCTGGTCCATTCGAAGGGTTTCATAAACCTTTGGCACTCTTGCCAGATTTTGCAGTGACATTTTTATTTTATCTGTCAACGGGCCGCAGATGAATTTTCTTTGAAAACTGTTTCAGGAGACCTTCTTTGAACCGCTGGAATGACACCACCCAATGAGGATATAAATTATCTCATTGCTCCTTCGAACCTCAGGTGCTCGATCAAACGCACATTAGGAAAACTGATGTGACAGACATCAATTAAATCGATGACCGGAAGTCTTCGTCTATGCTCTCTGTCTATGGGATAAAATATATTGCACGACTAAAGGTTTGTCGTCTCTGTTGCAGGGATATAAGGTAATATCACAGAGACCCTTCCTCAATGGTAGTATAAATTGCTTTGTTTTTCGTCAGAGGTCAGGTTGATACAAGCTTCAGAGGCACGCGGGTCACGTGTCAGCAGCATGCGCTCATTGCCTTACTATGAAGTACATAGTTCAGTAGTTAGGGTAAGGATTTACATATTTATCCCGGGGGAGAGGAAAACCATAGTTCTTATGTCTGTCTGTATGTCACTACATTCTGACATATACCAAATTCTGAGAATTGAAACAAAGACTTACCGTACCGTACTTTAGAAAGAATAGGAATGATGGCAAATATGTCAATATATTAATAACATATACCTGTATTTTTGATGTTTCTGTATATAATGAGTGTGCATGAATATTATACATGTAGATCATGTGAAATAGATAATAGAAAATAGAAAATATTGGTCAACAATTAAGTGTAATCATCGGCATACAAGCAAAAAATAATATTACCCATGGCTGCATGGTGTAAAACCAAGTTATTTTTACAATGCTCTATTAGAATTTATAAGAATGCACAATATAACGGTGAAAGAAATTGCAGAAGGAGATCATAGAACCATATATAAAAGAATTGTCAATAATATGAATTCAGAATTGGTTAATTTTTTGTATCCTGTTGATGTAAACAATTGTTGCAAAAATATTCATAGAGGTATCTTGGCAAATTATGTAAAAACGTTCAATTTCAAGATTATGTGGAAAATTCTACCTTTAAAAACTAAACCCAAAATAAAGTTTATTGCGGGTAATGATATTTGTGTTCTATGTAATAAAGAACCTGAATATAATGAACACTTGTTTTGGAAATGTTTATTCATACAGGACATATATGATTATATTTATGATATTATCATTAAGTTTTGTAACTGTCAATTTTTAAAAACGTTTCGGACATGCATAATGTTGGATCTGGGTGGACAGGAGTATCAAAATGCTACTTCTTCTCAAATAGATGCTTTGATATTGCTCCTGTCTACTGTTAGATTTAAAGTGTGGATGGAACGAAATGATGTTATATTTCAAGGAGTTACTCCAGATGTAACAAGGGTGAAAGAAAAAATTAAAAGGGGGTTGAAACACAGACTTAATTTAGAAAGGCATAGGAATGATAACAAATATGTTAATATATTAAATATATTATGCCAATGTTTTTGATAGATTTAATCTAATACCAATAGTGTGAATTATTCATTTGCTAATTGTCATTTTTGTTGTTATGTAACTATTGTTAATAACCTAAATATTTGATTATATTAATGATATGTATTTGAAAAAATTGGATGATACTAATGCTGAATGGAACATACAATAATAATGATGGGGATCATATTGGATGATGACGTGTAATGTGATGAACCTTATTGTATATATGTATTGTATGTATGTATATATCAACACATATTAAAAAAGGAAAAAAAAAAAAAATATATATTATTAACAATGTTTTAATATGAATACCTATATGAATACGAATGCCCAAGGATATCTGGATATGATGGATGAAAGATAAGTTCTTTCATTCTTGGTAAATAATACAGTAATAACTGAATGCTGTAATGTGTCTTATTACTGTATTATACAGTCATAATTTTTAAATGCTGAAATAACAGCTGAACAGTGTGAAATATACATTTACTGATTGTTATTTTTGTTTATTAATGTACCGTATCTTTTATATATTTATGATCTCAATCATCATTCCTGCATTCAGTCATTGCTAACAAAATGATACCGGTAATGCTGTAATGTAATGTCTGAATGTGCATTTTGATGGATTGAATATACCTTAATTCATGGAATAAGATAAGTTTATTTCGACTCCATAATTAGCATTTTGATGGATTGAATATAAATTCATGAAATAAGATAAGTTTATTTCGACTCCATAATTAGCATAAAAGACTATTGAATGATTGATAAAAACAAATAAATAAAAACTGATTATGAAATCAGAAGAGCAAATAAAACCTTGGATAAAGTTCAAAACACTGAAAGATACTGCTGTACTGATATAAGATGGAAGGTTTTGCCAAAAAGAAGTGGAACGTGTTCACTGACCTAGTGTGATTGAGTAACGTCAAACAGAAATGCGATGTGTTTTTTGAGAAAAAAGTCTATCTGTTGATCTGGCATGGAATGAAATTCTTGACAGACAAACAGACATGTTTAATTAGGACGGTCACCTCATCAAGTTGTTTTAGCACTTTTAATCAAACCCACTAAATTTTAAACTAAGCAAGTTCCGGTATGTCTGTATGTCCCATCCCAAATATCTGAATAGGGAGGGTATAGCGTTGTATGTATTCGTCTCGTAAAAGCAAAAACACAGGAGTTAGTAAATATCAACATTGAAGACGGGATGTATACACAAGACCATACTGGCCTAAAACACATGAACGTGCGGCATACACCCCTTATGATAAGCATAAAATGCAATAAATCGAATAAGTTATTTATAAGTACTTGCAGTGCCAGTGTGTACTTCATTAGACCCATAATAAATATAGTTTGCAGTCAATTGCAAGGCTGTAGGAGTGTAGGCGCATGCATGCACTAAGTCTGAATGACAACGTACCTGTATTGAGATTTGAATGACCATACCACTGTACCCTGACCACACCTAACCTGTACTTACGGCTGTACTGTCCAGATATTGTAGAATTTACTGATTGTTGAAATGGCCTGTTTCTTTGCTAAGCCTTTGTAATTTGAGTGGATATGCTTTGTGTAAGAAACATACTTACAAACTTTAATGGCCTATATTTTGTAAAAATTTCAGCAAAGCAGTTGTCAAATGATAATACAGTTGTAGGGGTTACAGTTGGAATCTCCTCTGATGCTTATGAAAATATGAAGCTCCTTCTTGATTGATGATTGAAGTATTCCACTAATACCTTAAAAATTTATTATGGGAACTGACATCACACCTACGCAACAAATGTTAGCATCATGTTCTGGTGCTGTGGTCACTTCTCTTTTGGTGACGCCTTTGGATGTGGTGAAAATAAGACTTCAATCCCAAACAGCCGCTAATGTCAACAAATGCTTCCTTTACTGTAATGGATTAATGGATCATCTCTGCGTATGTATGAATGGCAATGGCAAAGAAAAATGGTACCGAAGACCTGGGCAGTTTTCTGGTACATTCGATGCAATGATCAAAATAACTCGATATGAAGGCATCTCTTCTTTGTGGAGTGGATTGTCTCCAACGTTAGTGATGGCTGTTCCAGCGACCGTTTTATATTTCACATCCTATGATCAGCTGAAGTCGAGGTTACAGAGTAGATATGGAAATACTTTATTCATACCTGCCATAGCTGGTGGAGTTGCAAGGACTGGAACTGCTACAATTATTTCACCACTTGAGTTAATCAGAACAAAAATGCAGTCCAGGCCACTCACCTACCAGGAGGTGGCTTCGGTCATCAGGCAGTCGGTGCAGCAGTCAGGATTACGATCATTGTGGACTGGCTGGGTGCCGACTATATTGCGTGATGTACCTTTCTCAATGTTCTATTGGTTTTCATATGAACTAATCAAACAGAAATTGTCTTTTGATAATCTCTTCTTGAAATCTTTCTTATCAGGATTTACTGCAGGTGCTATTGCTACAGTTATCACACACCCTATGGATGTTACAAAAACAAGACGACAAATTGCTCTGGGTGAAAAAGTTTTTGGAGTTTCTAGTTCAACCCCAATGAATACATTTGCTGTTTTGCGAGATGTTGTAAACAATAATGGTTTGAGGGGAATTTTCTCTGGTTTACTACCAAGACTTGCAAAAATAGGTCCTGCTTGTGCGATAATGATAAGTTCGTATGAATTTGGTAAAAGATTTTTTCGAGATTATAATCATATTGGTTCATTTAATAATGATAATAATAGTGACAATGTTGGTGCTTTGAATAAATCTTTTAAAACATGAATCTGTATTTTGATAATGTATGTATTTGAATATTTTTCATAATTCTATTGAATTTTTTTTTATGCTATAGTCATCAATTACTGTGCTAATAATGACAACATCTCGCTATTTGCCAATTCTACAATCATAAGCTAAGGCTGTAGGTTCTTCAAATTTCAATGTAGCAAAGAATTTTTTTAAATAATAATCAACAGAATGCATTATAAAGTATTATTACTATGTTCTCAATAACTTTACTGCTGCTGCACTGGTAACAAGTTGAAAAAAGTTCTAGATAAACATTTGGAATATTCATTAATTTATCATGATTATCTTGTTTTCTCTTAATGCCGTATTTTTGAGAAAGTACCTTTGCGTCTCCACCCAGGTTTCAATTCGCCTATTTCTGTCATGACTGTGTTGCGATTTTATTATAATTTTAGCATAGCAATTGTATTGCAACATGTCATGATTTAGTATAGTATTAAAAACTAATATTATGGCTCATATGATGCCACCGGGACCAAACATGGTACCGGAACATCTTCCAAATCCTGATTTGGTGAAGAAAGTCGTTCAACAACTGAAGATAAATGGACTGTTTGATGAAATGAGAAGGGACTGTTTAGCTGATATTGATACAAAGGTTTGACCCTTCGTTTGGTATATTGGTATACGTATACACTTTTTTGAATTTTTTTTAATATTACTATATCAGAAGAAATCGCAGGTCCCCGCTGAATATTTTTCATTCCTGCAATTGCATTAAAAATATATAACCCAGTGCCTTTCACTATGAGCAAATTTATCTAACCATCGTCTGTTATGGTAGAACTGGAATATTGTATAAACAGTCTTTTTTACCCTGTTTGAGGTTTTGTGCATGCAATTTAATCCCACGATGTATAAGCTACAATGTTAATATACTTAGGTGCAATGTATTTTATCCTTTTCTATGTGAAATCAATGTTTTTGACAAAATTTTCAATATTACAGCCAGCTTTTCAAAATTTGAAGCAACGTGTCGAAGGACATGTCACTGGAATATTGGATGGACAACGTTGGAGTCCGACTTTAAACAAAAATCAACTGCGAAGCAAGATTCGTGAATCTGTTATGCAGTAAGTTGTGCTTGTGTGGGTGTATGCTTTACCTGCAGATTTTGTGTCATTTCTCATTTTCGCCAAATTATTAATCCTGATAAAAGGTATTTCTTATTGTAATTTTTGCAACCTCGTTTATAGAGCATGAGGAATAATAGAATTTCCCAACTCCTCAATTGATGAGAGTTGATTCAGCTACACATTCATACGCCTTTCACCAAAACAATCTTGTTTATTGAAGGGTATATAATAGCTTATTTTATATCGCTCTTACCTAGTTTAAAAATAAGAAATTGAGGTACACATTTAGTGTATCATTGTTTCTTGCATGATATTGATATGGCAAATGTGTTTACTGTTTAGCAAGTTCATGAATTTCAAGTTTTGTCATATTATGTTCACAGATCTGGAATTTTAAATGAAGGAGTTGAAAGAATCTTATTCCAAGTTTTCAATGCCAAAGTTCATTCTCTTTTTCTTCCGAAGATCGAAGAATTTATAAAAGAAAATGGAGATGAGTTGAGAAAGGTTCGTTTACATTATTACTACTTGGTAGAAGTGTTACTGTTAAAAGGGAACTACCTGCTCGTTTATCTGATGATGGTAGATTTGTAATATTGTTCAATTATACTTCAGGAGTTTTTGCCACCTCCGATGGAGATACCTATGATGGGAAATGCACAATTTGTTCCTCCTCCAGCTCCTGTACCACCAGAAATGGTAAGTAAAATAAATTTTTAGGATGAAAATATTAAAAGATTTATGCAACTATATAACTGTGGTTTTAAAGTAAATTCATTTGAAATGATTGACGATGACGATGATTCATGAAAATAAAATAAAAATGGTGATCATGCATATCTGAAAAACAACACAACTTTTATCCAGTTATTTATGAATTCCACTGAGTTTCTCAAAATCTAAATCAAAGCTTACACATCCTATTCGATAAATGTAAAAACGTTGCTCTTTAGTGTCTGCGCAGAATTTTGAAAAAGATCAATACCATAGTTCAGAATCTCTGTACATCTAACATGGGCAAACAGTGGCCCAAGGGCCAAAGTTGGCCTGTTAGGTAATTCAAACTGGCCGACCTGATGCTGCCACAACTAAACTAAAACCAAATTTTGATGTTTTAGCTAAAAAAATAGCTCAAGAAATCTGTTGAGATTGCGATTCAATTTAGCTTTGCCACAAGGCTCATTGTTTTTGACTTTCGCTTTTGTAACACTGAAAATATTGTTCATAAAATGTAACTTTACGCGTCACACTTACATGGCCCGCCAGTCCAGGTGGGTAAAATTTTTGGCCCCTTGTCTAAAAACCTTGCCGCCCCTGCTGTACATGTTACATATATATATATTTTGAAATGAAGCATTTTTTATTTTTACCAGCATCCTGAAAATCTTCCTCCAATGCCAGCCCAACCTCCTCCTCCTGAATCTCCATCAATTGGTATCGTGAATGAAACAGCAAAAATGACTCCCGAAACAGTCACTGATGTTACAATGGAAACAACGGTTGAGGAAATCCAGAATTTACCAGAACAAGAGATTAGCATGAAGGATATTGCTCCAGAAGATGTGATAGTAAAAGCAATCAATACCCCATCACCTCAGCATTCTCCAGTGAGAGCTTTTTATTTTATTTTCTCGTTCTGATGTTTTTTTTCGTAATACAGTGATTATTAAATGAATTGATTCAATTACTTCAGAGCTACCATATTAAGTGGGCAATACTATTGCAGAAATTGCATCCCAGGTTTTGTTTTCAGCTTATTATCTATTATTAAGTGGACCTATGAACAATTTCGTTAAGATGTTGACTTGTTGTTGTGGTCAGCTTTGTTTTTGTAAAAAGAATGCTTCTCTTTAATAACTACTAAACCAATTACTTTGAAATTTTCAGGGGTTGAGGATTGTTTGAAATTTTGTTTGATGATGTAATCCAATTTACAATTAGCGTTTCAGGGATTTAGTTGTCAGCGAAGTCGGCAGTCATTTCATTTTGAACTTTGTGTCTATATTTTTGAGCATTGCTCTCTTGTTTCACTTGTTAAAAAAAATCACTCATATAATAACATTCAGGAGTTGAATGAAGATGAAGCACCAAAGATACCGGAAGATGCTGTTAATCCTCTTAGAAGTTTGATTCAATCCTTGCTCGTTTCTAAGAAGTCAATCATTGAAACGTACGTAAGCACTGATTGCTGCTGATTTTTTAAAACTAATTTAATATCAAGAAATTTGGGAGATTTTTCTCCCACAGAAATTTCTAACCAATAATAATTACTAAATAGACAATTGTTGACAATTCATGACTACTGTTTAAAGATTGTTTGAGTTTTATAATGCAAGTATGCGACTGTTGAAAATTGATCAACAAATTCACTTCATGTATTCAAAGTTTAATATTTTAGAAATGATGACGAAAGCACACAAGTACCTGATGAACAATCGATGGACATTGGCGAAGAAACAATAAAAGTGGAAGGTTTGTATTGAAGAAATATATTGTTTAGTCTTGTACGAGTATACTGGATTATTAGTTATGGAAAATGCAAAATATCCAAATTGTTTGATTAATCCTGCATCCTTTCATATTTATTACCAAAATTTTGATCTCTTCGAAGATGTGTTTCAAGTTGGCGGTGGTTGTACCTGAGTGTTTGTTTGTTATGTTTTTAGGTTATTCACCGACTATTGATCCATCGGAGATTGAAGGTTTCACAGATGATGAAGCAGATGATGACAACTCCCAAAAACAAACTCAAAGTCAGTTTTTGAATATTTGTTTATCTCTACCTCATTATATGTCAGTCTTATTGACTCAAGCATTTAGGTAGTCAATATGTAATTAGAAAAATGACATCATGACTTACATTATCACAGTCTAAATTTCGAAGCAACAGTGGGACATGATTTCATAGTTTTTTAGTTGTCTTCAATGATAGTAAGGTTTTTTTTTTTTTTCATTAGATGAAAACCTTGGACCTCAGACTCCAAGGAAGGTTGAACCATATTCACCAAAAATGCGTCATGTATCGAAGAGTCCTGATCCTTCTGAACAATATTCTCCTACATCTCCACCTTGCAGTGAGCCGTATAGTCCAACGAGTCCTTATTCTCCACTTTCACCCAATCGCCAGTTCACAGAAGTTGTTTCTCCAGCAAGTAACTCCTCAAGTCATAAAAAAATTCCCAAAGCTTATGCAGATCCAAGGTCTGATACGGACTCAAGAAATCTAGATGAGGGAGACACTCCAGCTTATGATCCAACTAAGTTTTCGTATCAACGCATGTCAGACTCAACACAATACATAGAAGACTTGAATGCGCAGTCACCACCTTCACCCATCTCGGGTGATGTCACAGACGTAACAGACAGAGGTCGTTACACAGATGATAATTTACATTTGTTCTCAGAAGAAAGTAAACATGACACTGATATGAGAAAAACCGATGATAGCTTTTATCAAAAACCAGTGAAGGATCGGAGGCGCAAACATAAATCAACTTCCAGTTCATCGGGATCTGGTAGCAGGTTTGTATTAAATTGTTGTTTGTTGAATTGAACTGGATGACGTGGGTAAAATTATATTACATTGTTTCTTGCAAATTTGATTTTAAATTTGGATATTGTTTGCTCATAGACATCTTTGAAATGATAAGTGTTATTTTTTGAATATGGTTATCAGCCAATTTTTACATTTTATATCGCTGTGCATGTATTTTAATAGTAATTAATCAGATTCAAAGTGGTTTTCATTGATATTTCAAATTTAAATATTCAAGCAAAGAAGTTTTTATCTAAGATGCTGCGAATTCAGTGGTTTAAGCGATAGAATCAACTATGATGGCATCTTAGGTTAAAATCTCAGGTTCAAATTCCATGCTCACTACCTTACAAAGGGTGTCATAAATTGGGCAGGCAATACCGAACCAGAAAGATGCCAATCCTTCTAAAATAAAGTAGCTCCTCCTATCAGTGGCCGCTTATGCAGAGCCATATGTTGAATAAAAGGTCTATGATAAAGATAAAAAATGTATCTAAAATAAACCGTTTTTCCCATTATGGTTGGCAAGTTGAAGTTTTCCTGTGATAGCATTTTTCCCCAATTTATCCACCCTACAAAGAGGACATGACATACTAACTATATGGCAAAATCAGATATTAGAAAATCTTCACACGGAGTCAGGGAAATTAAAAAAAAATTGTAAATATCAACATCTTGAATTCTTATACTCAATCCTTTGTCAATATTTCAGCAGTGGATCTCTGTCATCATCGTCATCAGAAGATGAAAATGATGAAACAGTTGTTGAACAAGTAATTGTACAAGAAGTTGAAGAAATGGTAAGCAGTAATATGATTACATTGAATAGAACGTCACAATACAAACATTTATGAAAATATTTGTTCTATATTTGATTTGTGTATATTTAAAACAGCTATAAAATATATAATGAAAATGTTCAAACTGGATAAGCATTTTGAAGACCATCACTTGTTTTGTGTAACACACATAAACATGACATGTGCTATGGTGTATGCTTAATCCGACGTTGTGGCACATCCTGCAAGACCTTTTTTTGAGAATACATAGAAGATAGGACCAGAGAAAGCGATTTTGATTGTAAGACCCTAGAAGCCACTCACTTGCATCGAATGGTTTAGCATTTCAAGCGTAAACAGGGGTTGTGAAAATTTAAATATATTGGAAAGGGTTCTCGAGATTAGAGGGTTTGGGAAGCCCTGTGCTAGGCTATCATGACATCAAAAGTTTTTCAGTAGTATTTTCGTGTCACGGTCGAAGTTGCTCCTTGGTACCTCTTAAATTGCTTCACAAATCGCTAAGCAACTGCAGACCCTACTTTGAGAACCAATTTGCTAAGCGTTAGGAATACGCTCGCCACTTCACCTCTGATTACCTTGCTTGCGTTTGCAGGTTCGAATCACATTCGGGGATGATTATGTATGAGTAGAATGCTGGGCCCCTTGTAGTTGTAGGGTAATTCTCGTAACCGCTTGTCGGTTACGGCTTCCTCTATTACCAAGTGCATCAAATAACTGGCTTGTTGATTCCATATCCGACATAGGCTGGTAAGCGGACAAGAGGCCGTGTTTTGCCATATGATTGAGGCATCTTTTTGGCTTTCTAGGTTGAGGAAATTGAAGTGGTTGAAGAATATACTTCAGATTCTGGCACAGAAAAACAAGATATAGAGATAGAAGAAGGTGAAGAAATTAAAAGTGATGGAAGTGCAGAGGTTAAAGGTGATTTTATAGAATATATATCTCTTCATTGTTGGTCACATGCAATTTTCCAGTTCTCTAGTTTGAATTTATCTCATTCTCATAGATAAAAAGAAGAAAAAGAAAAATAAGAAACGCAAAACAAAAAAGGTATTTTATTGGTTTAATATTTCTCTAATTCAGTCAGATTATGACTGAAGTGAGATTTAGACTGTTTGTTTCATGCCATCTATTGCTATGTTATAATTGATTTATGAACATAACACTCTTACCAATCAATATTTGGTATTCAACCGAACAGTTGATATTGAGATTCCTCAAATTTGATTCATCTTTCTCAAAATTAAGTAAATTGCATTATTATTTTTTATATCTTTTGATTTATTTTTTAACCAGTGAAACTGTGAGTTTTAAAGTTGACTTTCGTCTACAATCACAGACTTAGTACGGAAATAACAATTGTTCTTTGGCCTATCTGATTTTGAAAGTTACATTTTATGATATTATATAATAGTAATATTTATGCTTCAGGCTCGTAAACGGCATAGATCGAGTAGTATCAGTAGCGGGGAAATTACATCAAGTGGGGAACTGTCTTCAGATTCATCAAGTAATGAAAGAAGACCGACAAGGTATTTATTGTTGGGAATGGGATAAGTATGGTTTTCGTGAATCCAAGTAATAGATCAAACACTTAAGTCTAGACTTTGAGACCATTTTGAAATGCTAAAATCAGATTTTTAATCATATTTTAAAAGAATGCTTGGTCATCAATGAAAGTTGCATTACATCTGTATTGCTGTATGTGTATGTTTACTGTACACCTGAAACTATTGTCACTACGAGTTGCTGTTACTACTGCTCTGATTATCATGCATTTGCCAACCGTAAAATGAATAGATATGTTTTTATCCGACTTGGCAAGTGACTTTATAAATGGCTGTGGAATGGGTTTGTGCCAAAGTACGTACTACCTTGTCATCTTTCTACTCTTTATAAATATTTTGAAATTCTATTTTAGTCACCTCCTAACTATTTCAGACCAACAGGTCCTCCAAAGCAGAAACCTCTTGATCTGCATGAATTAGAAGAAAGAAGGAGAGTTCACATAGATGATTCTTCTCGAGATCGTCCTTTCTGGCAAAATACAGAATCTTCTTCAGATTATCTCAGGTAATATACTGAAAATTCATCTGTTGTTAGTGTGGTAGACTTTGATAATATCTTCAACTTTGGTAATAATATATATTTTTCTAAATTTATTGACCTTGCATGATATTTATTTGATAAGAACTATTACCGAAAGAAGATGTGATTAATATTTATCACTTGCAAAATGGAATTTAATTTAATTATTCGAAGAGTACCTAATTTTCATGAATTCAGAAATTGGCATTAAGTACAATGCATTTGAACAGCTGAGTGCACCTTGATATATTATCCTTAGAGTGCTTTTCTCTATACGTACCAAGATGGCGGACACCGGAACGTAGTATGTATACCAGGTTAGGGTTGGGCTATAATTTTATTCCAATTTTCCTTATTTTAGTTCTATTTCGAGTTTGGGACTAGCCAAGCGACTCCCGTAGTATTAGTACCTAAAATTATGGCCTAACCCTAACCTGGTACACATACTACGTTCCGGTGTCCACCATCTTGGTACGCATCCTTCAGGAGTACCATTTTCTCAGCTAGCAGCAAATCTTAACCTGTGCATTCAATGTGGTGTGTATTATAATACTAATCATTCAGAGAAAGGCAAATTGTCATAAATGAAAGGAGAAGAAAATACAGAGGCAGAAGACGTGACCGTACTTACTATTATTATTAATGATGAGTAGACAACAGTACAAGATAAGTTCAGATTGTAGGTATATTAGTTAAGGCAGGTTGAGATTTTAAAAAAAATGAGATTTTTGAGGACGTTTTAGCTTCTACCGTCTGAAGGTTTGGTGTCAATGTGATATTATTTCAAACAGAAGGGAAAATATTGTATGGTTACTCAATTTGAGTTTATAAGTGTACTTGCTGTAACATAATACTCGGTTCCCAACTTTTGTTGTTGATTGGAAATCTCTGATAGTGCCTTGAGTGACGTCATCTCACTCAGTGATGCGTTCCGGTGCTCGAACACCTAATTTTTATGCGAGTACTGTGTAATTTTTGACCGACAACCAAATTTTTGACTGCAAGAGGTATCACTGTGTATTAAATTTGGTATACTCCGCTCATAATTATATGGAAACTTACTCTTGTGTAGATTAGGCATGATATTCTTTGAATTCTAATTTTGAATAGCAAGTTTTGAGTTGAATGAACTGCCAGCACCATAATTTAGCAAATTTAAATTAGGTATGTTGTATGTTTAAATTTTCTGTTGGTATGAAATGCTGACGAGGCACCTGAAGGCAATATTTGGTAGTAATGGAGGGAACTCAAAAACAAGTTTCGTTGGTTGCGAACCCTTGAGTCACTTATCAAAGCTTTTTATGTCAGTGAACCAGGTGCTTATTGTCGGTATATTAGACCATTGATTTTGAAATCTCAAACCATTTTTTCTCATTTCTATGCAGTTCACCCGGTAGAATGCGACGTCCATATTCACCTACACGGCGACCTTTTTCTCCTGATTTTCACAGGGTGAGTGGACTCCTATAAACTCGCAATGATGGTTTATATAAATATAACATCACTCTCTTTTATGCTTGTCCACTGTTCACAGTTTACATCCATTATCTCAGGACTTGTATCTTCGTATAAATTGGAGTATATTTAAAATTAATGAAATAATATTATTTAAAATTGGTACTATTTTGTCTGCTAGATATTTTGAATATCGTTGCATTCTCTGTTTCAGTTTAAAGAAGAACGATATCGACCATCAGGCCCTCATTTCAGGTAAGATCTTTTTCATAGTGTCATAGGCTACCATCAAAGTGTTTATGACACAAAAGTGGGTTATTTATCTAATTATTAAAAACTGATACTTTCATTCATTTCATAACACAATGCCCAACAAGCTTATTTTGCATATAGCTCAAATTAAACGGCCTATATTGATCTGAGGAAATTCACATTAACAACACTTGTGAAAAGTGTAAATGTAAAAGAGAACAATCAAATGAAGTTTATGTGAATAATAAAACAACTAGATTGTTTGTTTCGCTTCTTGTAACTGGTCAAATGATTGGTAGTTGATAACACTGCTTTAAGCCCAATTTGGTGGAAGAATTAGGTAATTTCAAGATTATATAACGATCCGAAGTTCGTAAGTTCAAAATATGACGATTGGAAAGTAGAGTCATGGCAAATGTTTTGTCTAAACACAATAAACTCTTATTTTAGAGACAGACCGATGTATCCTGCGGATTTTCGTTCTATTCGTCATCCAAGATTTTCACCACCTCCATCATTCCGACGAAGCCCTCCTCTACGATACAGTCCAGGACCAAGAATGGAGTATCCTGGGCCCATGCCATTTGGTTCACCCCGTTCACCACCCAGACGTCCTTATTCTCCTCCACCGCATATGATGGGTGGTTTTCCTGGCGACAGGGCACCTTTTCCACATCCAAAACCTAGGTGGGGTTCGCCACCTCATCTAAGCCACAGGCGATCTAGTAGATCTCCTCCACCAGGTTTACGAAGAGATGATGGCCCCGGACCTTCTCGATTTTAGCAAGAAAATTTGCATGTTTCTTCCTTATTGTCCATGCACACCACTGCCTTCTTGTTCTTTTCTCATGATTTTGAATATTATGAACTGAATTTAGAGTCAAAATTTAACTGGTTTATTACTTTGAATACCTTCAGCTGTTTTTGTGATATTTTGCATTATTTGTTTTGATAAAAATTTATATTTTTCTTATTTGTGTTGCAATTTTTTGAAATAATTACAAGCCACCTTTGGTGTCGAACGAATTCTTATTTATGTCATTTTATTATTTTAATCTGATAGCAATTAGCAATTTCCCGTGTCAGCGTTATAGCAACTGGAGAGCAAGACTTCCATTGTGCCAGTTGTGCGGTCAGGAATAAAAAAGCTAGCGATTATATTAACGTGACCATACTATTGTATTTTTTAAGTGTCGACACAACTGGCAACAGGAAAACAGCACTTCATGGGAGTATTGCAAACATTATGTTAACAATGTGCAAATATTCTACATGTACCAACTCTTATATAAAAACCAGATGAAAAAAGTTCGAATCTGGAGCGTTCCTAATACCGCCCGGGACAAACTCCATATCGTGCCAACAAACTACACTTATTGTTAATGCGCATGTAATATAGCATATGTGTGTACCCAGATCAGTATAAATGAGAAATCGTGATTTCAGTCTCCACTTCCCAGCAATGTCGACAAAAAATTCATAGCAGGCCTACAAGTGCAATTTATTCAAAAATACCAAATATATCGACCAGGTAATTTAAACACAACGATGTTAAAGTTTGGAGTCATTTTAATTATCTACTATGTCCTTATCCAATTTGGCGGAGGTGAGATTTATTACTGGGTCGGGCCATGATTCCGCCATTGTTATAATTGGTAAAATAATAAACAGAGAGGTGGTCCTGCTCATTGTGTGGTATACTCACGTCTCGGTCGCGACAAAGGGTATCGTTTTGAACAAGATTTATCATCACACATTGTCTTTGAAATGATCAGGGAAAAATAGATTCATGACCCTTTGATCAAGCCATCGTGTGCGGAACTGTTAATATCTGTGTCAAATAATGCGTGGCTCATAGGGAGTTACAGACGAGAAACGTAGATGAATTCAGTCGGTTGACAAGAATTGGATTTTTATGAAACTCACAAAATTTCCAAATTGCAAAATGATACTTGATATAAATAGTTCTATGCAAATATAATAAAAAAGAAATAATGTTTATCGTTGTTTTTAAACGAGAGAAAAGTCAAAATGGTTCCTTCGTTGATCACAACGCACCTGTACAAATATATCAGCTGTATGGTCGTGAGTGTTATGAAAAGAACATAATGTTTCACTTATGAATTTTAGCATATGTATTCCAACTTCCAGGACACAATAAAAGTCAAAAATAAGTGCATTTATTCACTACTAACACACACAGCTATAACACATACGACAAGATAAAATATTGTGGTGAACGCATAAGTGTAGCAATTCCTCCATTTTATTTACGACAATTACTTACGGAAGAATCGGTTGTCATAAATGCAAGAACAAATAAACAAAATAAAACCCCCAGTTTTCTGATGTTCTACCACCAATGGCATAAAGTTGGAGAGATATCAAATTTAAACAATTTTCGAGTTCTATTGTCCATGATTTTGCCCGAGGAAATAATACGGTAAGTATAAATGATAGTAGCTTCAAAACTAAAGCACAATACTTTTTGTAAAACTTGTAGAACCATTGCAGTGGATTGCACGATTCATTTATATATATATATATCTATTATCTTCATTTAACAGCAGCCCTTCTTCTTAGTCTGATTGCTGTCACCCATTTCTTTGACGAGATATTTCAATCGTTGTAAACAATATTGAGCTGACTCGGTGTTTCCGCCATAATCGAGTTCCGCAAATTCACGTCGGTCAGCAATAAAAGCCTCAACTGCTACGTTCAAATCTCGCATTTCTTTATCTGTGAGTTTTTTCTGTTGTGATTCAATCTCAGTTGGTAGTTCAGAATTGTAGCCTCTTCCGAGTTCTTTCAGCTCGTTAAAGCAAAATTGAACCCGGATATCGTCTTCTAAAACATCCAAAAAGGCGTCTGAGTCGTTATCGTTAAAATAATTCAAAACCATTTGTTTCAGATTCTCTCCTTCCTCCTCTGTCAACGGATCGTTGATTTTAGAGCGCTGAAGTTCATCTAACTTGGAATTCAGTCTAATATTCTCTTCTTGGAGTCGCGCGATTATAAGGTTCAGATCCTCGATTTTATTTAATTTGGGTTTTGTCTTAATTATAGAAACACTCTGTGCAAAGTTACATGTAGACAAGGTTTCATCTAGGTTATGCTCATCAATGCTGATAGTTGCCACCAAACTCGTCACTGAATTTCCAACGAGGGAATCTCGGAGAATTTTTGTGATCATGGTATTGCGAAATGTTTCTGGCTGACTGTTGTTGGCAATCGACTGAATGACTTTGTGCAGAAATAAAAGGGATCGGTTTATATCTTTGGCTTCGGAAACCAACAAACTATCCCCAAGTTGGTCCTTACCCACTCGCTCGGATCCAGCTAAGTCTACAAAATGAAGTTTTGATTCTACAACACCAGTGTCATCTTCTCGTTTAATATAAACAGTAAAAACAACGTGAGATCTAGACGACCTGTTATTGGCATAGGTCTGTGCAATTTCTCTGTTGGAATTCCCTTCCAAAAAGACTTCTAGAGTCTCATCTGATGTTTCCACTTTACGTAAAGCCAAATTCTCCAGCTCTACTTTGGTGTCACTCATTCTACAGATAACCTCGCGCTTGCTCAAAAATGTCTTGTGGTTAACAGAATAACTTTCCGCGCCGAGTAAATCATACATCTTTTTTTGGTATATTTCCAGAAAAGAAACTTGAACTTCGAACGGATCGCCTTTGGCTTTCAAATCTTTAAATATGTAATCAATAGAGCGAGGAATTATTCCACATTCTTCGTCCGCTTCGTATTCCAGTTCCTCTCCCATGATGGTGTATGTTTTTCCAGTTGCAGTTTGTCCGTAGGCAAAAACTGTACCGTGGTAGCCATTGAGCACATAATCGATTATAGGCCTGCCGACGGTTTGAAATATTTCTGCTTGTAACACGTTTTCGTCAAATATTTCGTTGAATGCGAATTTCTGCGTTTCCTTCTCTTTGGCTGAGTTGGATTTTAGAAGAACATCTGTCGGTTTTGTGAATTGTATCAGTTGTGTGTGGGAGGAGTCATCGTAGGATGGCCATATTTGAGTCTGTAATCTCG